GTGTGTTTACCATACTCTGTGTGATGGGTATTGTCATGAGACCAAATTGTTCAGAGGTTTTCAATAACATACACATCTTTGTCTGCACTTCTGCTTTTGTAGAAGCTGTCAGGTGTCTGAAAAATAAAGCTGTGTTCAAGAGAAATATTTAGCCTCAAAGGGCTAGTTTGACCAGTTGGAAGTGATGGTTTGGCAAATAGTTCTCAGWAGTTAGTTCYTCATCAGTCATAGACCCCCGTTCACAGCTGGCACCTAGGTATCCAATTGCTTCTAGATTATGCTAAATGCAAGCATGAATGGCCTTCAGACCACCTTGGACGTGGATCATCTTCAGTACAGGCCACCTCCAGAGGCCACCAGAGAAGTTCTGAACCCCTTTTATCTACATACATTTAATAGTCTGAACACATTTCATCTGGAGCCAAGCTTGTAGGTCTTTCTGCTAAACTGAGGTGACCCCACACAATCAGCAGAGTTATAACCTGAAAGTCTCAGGGTTTTAAAAACTGCTTAAGTTTCCAGCCATCTGAGGGAGTATTCCGAAGATGAAGCTTGATTTTTGGGGGATTTTTACAGCATGGTGATTTTTTTATTTTTTTTTATTTTCACATTTATGTTTGTTCTGATTGCATTAGAGCAGACTGGACCCACCATCGTCATTGTACACTATAATGTACTGTGTCAATGACAGGACAACAGTCTGAGCAGTGTTATATTGCATCATATTTACYTAAACACAGCGCTGTAAAAGCTGTAAAAAAAGAAAAGAAAAAGAAACGGATGACGGCTGTTGGTGCAGCTTATTTGTCAGTTTAAAGGTTAGGGTTTATTGATGCTGAACAGGCAGGTTGATATATTTAGCAGCACACCTACATACTCAGGAAGGTAAAAAAAAAAAAACATAACATAAAATATAACATTCAAAAAGTAGATGATTACTATTTGCTAATATAACATTTTTTTCACACCAGTATGACATTTTTAACAACATTTTTTACAAGAACTTCTCCAAGTGGATATTTATTTGCAGATATTTCCAATTTGTTGGCAGCTCTGACGTCACTTGTAAAAAAGCTTCCATTGAGCCTGGAAGCTCTAGCAATGCCCAAGAGTCAACACAAACCACATCTAAAATGGATTTCAGATTGAGAAAAAAAAAGTTCCTATTCAACTGGTGCTTGTGTGACTCCAGTCACGCTAGCGTGCGCACTGTAAAAGAGGCCATATCACAGCAAGACGGATTCAGACAGTCGCGTTGCATTCCATTTGCTCTTTTCTTGCATCTCRTAGCTATATTTACCATGTCTCTGTTTTCCTTTTAGAGACTTAAATGTACCCTAACAAGYCGAACATGTTGTCATCCGCTCAGCTCCTAGTCACGATGTAATATTTAACAGACTGATGTGAAACCTCCCTGAAACATTTTCTCTGCGCAACTCTTTCTGGCTTTGATGAATTATTCCTCATTCCACTCCATTTTGCTGTCTCTTTTCTTTTTTCAATGTGTGTGTGTGTGTGTGTGTGTGTGTTTTCTGGTTTACTTCATGTTCACCTTGCTGCTCAGACAGAAATCATGTCTTTTTGTGCGTTCACAGCTTCTCCGCAGCTCGTTGGTGAACAATCGAACCCAAGCCAAAGTGGCGGAGGAGTTGGGTATGCAGGACTTTGCCATAACCAATGACAAAACCAAAAGGCCCGTTGCGCTGCGGACCAAGACTCTTGCTGACTTGTTGGAATGTACGTTCACATGCCTTTGACTTGCCTACAGTATGGATATAAAATGAATAGCATTACAATCCTTACAGACTGTTTGCAGACCTTTTTTACGTCTTTAAATAACGCACAGTCTAAGCTGACAGAACGTTACTGATGTTTTTGTTCTCTTTGTATCAAATGCCGTCACTTCTCTCCTTAAGAGATGGAAAAATGCCTCTTATGTGTTTAGCATGACTGAAGTATTCATTGATGTTTTTACTCTTCCACCAGCCAACGCTGCCGCATCTCCTTCAGTTAATAACCTGATAATAAGCTTGTGCTTTTCCTGCAGTCTAACACATATTTTCAAATCTATAGAACCTTTAAAAAAGTAGAATGAGAGCGTAGGTGTCAGATTTGGCTCCTAAAGAAAGAAAGAAAAAACAGTAAATTTATGATTGAGTTAAGACTTTTGGCCWTCCAAGATTTTATAAGTTAAGATCTTTGACTACGTTCACACTGACAAAAAAAATGGAACCCAAATCCGATTTTTATTTTATTTAWTTTTTCCCCAGTGTAATCCATATTGCATTTTTTTTCTGACAGTCTAAACATGACAAAYCAGATTTTTTTCAAACCCGACCAAGGCCTTTTCAGTATTTGGGACTAAATCAGATACATATCTRATGTTTTTCAAAGCAACTGCAGTCTGAACACTYGTGTTGTGTTTCATCTGACTTTTACATTTGTGAGGTAGGGGTGAGCAGATCAATCCATAAAATAATGATACTAYCCTCGAGTCATGCTGTTTAAATCTTGTAACTCCACGCRTCTTCAGCTACAGAACAGAATTCCAGTYGCTTTGTCTCTTTTTTTCATTTTCCGTGTCCTGGATGACTGAGAATCCGCAGAAACATRTGATAAYAATGTTGTCGGACCATATTGATACTAAAGTTACTCGACCGAGTAATACTTTACTTCAATCACGTTATCATGAGAATTGTTGTCTACAGACCTCCAATGAATGGCGCAGCATTTTATAAAAAGACGCACTTTAAATTTATTTTGATTAGAGGTGCACCAAAAAATCGTCTTACATCAGAATCGTGATTCTCATTTACAAAGATTCAGAATCGGTTTAAAATGTCCCAAAATCGATTGTTATAAATAAAAAAGTGCAAATCCAATGGACATCAGCCTCCCATTTGGTAACTACATGGGACGTCCTGATGTCATCAYGCAGCTGCTTCTGGAACATATGAATATGCAAAAAGTACCAAAACAAAGAGGAAACTACAAAACTGCAGGAAAGAGAGATTCAATTGACCCCTGTATTCATTAAATGCAAAAATTTGGGCTCATTTTGTTTTTTACTGAATGAGTCTGAGTTTGACATGAGCTTCACTGTGTGCAAGGTTTGCAAAATAAAGATGAAGCACTTTGGGAACACGACAAATGAGCTCACATTATCAGCTTTGAATGAAAATTCGATTTTGAATCAAATTGTGGCCCCAAAAATCAGAATTGAATCGAAAGGTGAGAGAGTAAAAGATTCCCACCGCTAATCTTGATATACTTCTTGGTTTTACCTCTGTTTTGTGMATTCCTTCTAAAGCTAACATCTCATTAGCCTGCCACTGTTGAAGAAAAGTTAGCATCTCAAACTTGACTCAGTATTGCAGAAAACTAATAAATCATGATAATACAATTCCATTTTTGCTATTTGTAGAGTGTTTAACATCACCATGCTCAAACAAACTCTGACCCAGACGCCCATTCAGTGACTACTAATGCCTTCCAGGTGATAGCTTTGCAGGCTACAACATTAAGAGACATTAAAGTGAGTCCTGCAGGCCATGTTGGACCAGAGGTTCTGATAATCACAAGTTTYTGGGATCATTAGGCTACTATATTATATTTGACGGGGCTGCTGAAGTCAGCCCACACAGCGGGACACAGAGCGAGCTGCCAGCTGCCTCACAGACAGGTGAAATCGATCAATCTTTCCTTGTTTTTGTCCTCAAGTTCTTGCTGTCAGTTTCAGTGCCTCTTCATGTGCACAATGCTGTGGTCAGTAAAAGAAAAGAAAATTATTTTAAAAAGACCATTTGGAAGCTGTGAACTTGTTTTTTCAATATATCCCATCTCCAGAGATCAAATTGAAGTCTGAGATTTAAATAAACTTTCAAACTTTTGTGGTAACAGATACATCAGTACCTAACAATTTAAATGTCCTCTCAGAAAAAAAAAAAAAAAAAAAAACATAATTCATCAACATTATGAACAGCTCACTACTGGGAAGCAATAGTTGGTTTTACCTTTAAAATTTGGTCAAACTTGTGGAGTAACTCATGCCTGACCACATTAATTAAACATATACCTCCAGCCATGTATTTTTGATATCAAGCCTACCAAGAAAAGAACTTAGTGCTTGGTCATAATAAAATAATGGTTGACACAATCTCGTATTATATATTGTAGTAAACKATGTGAGTCAGAAGTCACAGGAGATACTTTTATTTCAGAAAAAATGTGAAAATGACAAATATGAATAATCCAACAAGTAATGGGTGAGGGGGCCTGTCTTTGAAAAAAACCTACCCTTCATCCAGTTTGATGGCTTTAAAGATGGCGGCCATGTTCTGGAAAAAGCCTAAAAGATAGACCCTCTCAGTAATTGCTAGGCTGTTCAGATATGTYATTTTCCCTTTTCTTTCTGAAATAACAGTGTGACTTGAGAATTTTGACTTACCCCGTATATTGTTCTCAGCGWATGCGTTGAGGATGACGCTCAGCTACCACCATATCAAATTTTAGCTCAATATCTGAAAATCTTACTAAGTTTTATCCATTTTTGTGTCAACTAAGGTCTTTTAGCTGTGGCCCTGTTTTGAACTGGGAGGCTCCAAGAAATCAGTTTTACACGTGCATCCATCTAAATGTTTTATTAAAATCCATCCAGTAGTTCACAAGATATTTTGCTAATAGACAAAACAGACAGAAAGTGGACAATAAGTATGTTTATTGAAGGAAGTAAACTCATTTGGCCACCAAAGAAAGAAAACAGGGACTGCGGAGTAAAGTAGGAAACAAACTGAACTAGATTGATAGGAGGACAAAATGTGGAAAAACAAATAACAAAACAGAGAATCGAGACCAGTGTCCTCCAGGTTAGCTTTCAATCAGCCAGCCTTGATGCATGAATCCCAAAACAACGCAGCTTCATATCATTTGCCTTTCAAATCATTTCTCCAAGTTTGGGTCAGAGCAGAGTTGATGACACAGGAAAAGGACGCAGGGCAGCGCTGGAAATGAGTGCAGCTCCTCTGTATATGAACGGCCGTGCCCCGCGGCTACGGCAGGCCCTCGCTGGCCTCCTGAAATATTACCTATTGTTCCCCCCTCGTGTCCCGTCGTCTTAGGCACAGAGATGAGTGAATGCAGTGGCAGCTAATGGAAGAAAACAAAGGGACCGCGGAGAGATGAAGATGACACCCCGCAACCTATGCTTACACTTCAAATCTTTTTCAGCTCACTTAGACTGCAGCTATTCTCGATGCAGCTCGAAGTACAGTTTTATCTTCTAGGTGACATAAACGTATCTGTGAACTTTGTGTGGCCCTCCCTGGATCTATCTCCTGTTAGAGAAAGAAAAGTAGATTTTTCTTAAACTCTCTTGYTGTGGAAAGCCACAACTGTTGTTTGCCTCCATCCAGGTTTTTGAAAGTTTTATTTACCTCCGAAGCAGAGAGAGTTCGTTACAACAACTGCACAATCGTTTTTGGTCTCCTTTTTTTTTGTGTTACCTTTTTAAAAAGTAAAAATAAAACTGCTCTTTTTGTCGTTTGCAGCTTTCATCGCCGCTCTCTACATCGACAAAGACCTGGAGTTCGTTCACACCTTCATGAACGTCTGCTTTTTTCCTCGGCTGAAGGTGAGCTCCTATTGATAGCCATTCACCGCCTGCGCTTKATCAATGGGCTGCCGAGCAGGGCACATGAGGAGAGAAAAGGACCAAGGAGATGATGAGGAGGGAGCTAATGGCCAGGCCCTAATCGATGCGGGGCCTGAAGTGGTGCTTGGCTCCTGAATGCTTCTCATAATGGCGGCTCGGGCTGCTATTTTAGTCATCTTTAATGGCAGCGGTGCAGAGATGCGTGCATCGGGCTACTAATGTTATTCACCGGTGTTTGGGTATCGATTGAAGAAGTGCTGCCGATGACTTCCACTTCAGATGTGTTGCGGGAGAGGAAGGAGTCAAGTGTGTTTCAGAGCTCCTGTGGCCAGTTGTGAGCGTGAAACCACAAGGGTTTTTTTTAATCCTTAAGTGCCCCGGTCCAAATTTAAAGAGAAAACACCCAAGATGGCTGCTTCCCCGGCTWATGCACTCGCAAACTGTCACCCACACACACGCGGCCACATTCCCACACAGAGAGGACCTCTCCTTGTGAAGCTGCTGCAGTGGTCTGATACGCCATGCTAATTGCCGTCTTGGTGTGCCTCTCCAGGGAGAATCCTCAGCTCTGGAGGAGCTGAGCTTTGCGTCATGGTCGCTGCAAGAGAGCACCTCATTTCCACTTCCAAGAGAAAAGTTGTGAAACAGCCAGCACGTCTCCTTACATAGCCTTCTGGAAAGACAGCATTGCACACTGTGCTGCTTCATCCAATTTAGATGGAAATAGAGAGGCGAAACCAGGGACATGAACGCTCCCCCTTTCCTTATGTTTGTGCTCTTTTTGTGTGTGTGCTGCTCTGTGTGATGACGCATCTTAACTGGTTTGCATCACTGTGCGACTGGAGTGGCTTGTTTTACAGTAGAGGTGGGCTGTACGCGCTTCTTGAAACATCAAAATTCCTCCGCTTTAGGCTGAAGGGATGCCCACTCCCTCCCCTGGAGACGGCAGAAAGTGGGATGGAGGGAACAAAAAGGAAAGTAGAGATATGGAGAGTTTGGAGGCAGTAAAGCGAGAGCAGGGGAGCGCAAGCAGCAGAGGCACTCTTTGTAGAAAATTAATAGGAGCAGACAGTTCTGGATTCAAAGTCTGCCTTTTTATGACAAGACTGCTTCCCTGTTAATGGAAGGGCTTTTAGAAGTCCCCCTTGGATAAGAGAAATGTATCAGGGCTACACACCTGGGAGACTCCCAGACGCTCTTTATTTCTGGCCCGGGATTGGCTTTTGTCTTAAGTAGCCTGTGATTTGTACTCACCGCGAAGACACAGATGGAGAGCAAGTCTGAGAGTGACCAAATAAGTGATTCTGAAAGGAGAGCGTAAAAAGTGCGAGGACGGCAAGAGTGAAATAAAAGTAAAAAGCAGCTGAAGGAGTTACAACAGCGGCCGATTTTTCTTTCTCGTGCCTGATTTCTTCAAAGAAATGGGTTTTGAGGGGAATAAAAAAGAGAGGGAGATTAAAAAATATGTGGTTTGTGTATTGCAGGAGTTCATTTTGAACCAGGACTGGAACGACCCCAAATCTCAGCTGCAGCAGTGCTGTTTGACCCTGAGAACGGAGGGCAAGGAGCCCGATATCCCGCTGTACAAGTAAGAACTCTGAAGAGCTGGGGGGGCCGCTTAGGTACACCTTGACTGAGGCAAACAGTGTGAACTTTGAAGTTAGCAGCACCTAAAACAATCATCCTAAAATTTACCTCAGAAATGATGATAGTTAGGTTGTGTTATAAAGTATGATTACTTGAGTTTCTTTTAAAATAGAAGAAAAGTTACAGTAGTCAAACCTTGGGGACGTATGAGTTGAAAGTTGATGCAATAGCATCAATCCAAAGGGATGTAGAGAAACTTACTGTGTTTTAACTGTGTTTTGTTGAGAAATGATAATCTAAACCAACTTTAGGAACAGCCTACTCACTACTTTTCTTGTATGTTATATTTTCAATCATATTATGCACATTGCATTAATAAAACTAATAGAATGCCAAGCAAAACTAGCTTGCAGAACAACTTCTTAATGACTTTAATTAGTTTATCTTCAGACATTCCATTTACTGATCAACTCTAATTAAATTTACATATTAAATCTTTGATATGTTTAGTTGTTTGTTTAGCTAATTGTCTTCAACCTTTCTCTTTTGCTACCAAAAGTTGCAAACAAACATCAATCAAATGCTGATTTAGCTACATTTTGGGGTTTGTTTGTTACAAAAATCTGAATCTTGTATGTTTTCTCACATCACATTTTAATTAACCCTTACACTGTTAAGAAAATGATGTTAGCATTTTTTTTACACAAGACTCGTCTCTGTCACAAGACCCTAAATGCTATGAATAGCCGTGTAAAGGTCATTGTTGTTGTGATAAATAAACACCCCTACTGAGACCTCCTATTTGACAGGAAGTCAAGGAGCAAGTGTCATTTGATAAAAAGCTTTAGAGCCATGATGCGGCGTTTGTTGCCATGGAAACTTTCAAACAACCTTTTCTTGGAAGAGTAAAAAAGGAGGTCAGTCAGAGTCACAAAAGCAATTGGAGACAGAGCATTTCTCTTCACAATGATGCCCCACAATCCAGCGTTTATTCTGCTCTTTCTTCATGCCTTTTTCCCCACTTCTTCTATTTCTTCTACTACTGCTTTCTATTTATTTGAATGTCCTTTCACTTCATACTGTGTATCCTGTATACACATTTACACACAAATAAATAAATATATTTCCCCAACACTTCTCCAAACTCTGTTGCCCGTAAGTGTATGCGCAAGAATCAAATGCAGGTCCTCGATGACCTTAAATTCAACAATTCAAGCAGCGCCTTGGTGGTACAGAGGACTAAATGTACACAAAGCTGCATGTGARGTTTTTGCTACACGATCAAGAGTAGTTACTGCTCGAGCTGCCCCTGGCCAATGACTACTCAGTAGCAGCCAATAATCTCAAGCTCTTGGTTGACCCCCCCTCGTGAGATGACCTGACCCCTGGGAGTCAATGAGTCCAAAATCATTGAACTTTTATGACGTTTTATGCCGCAATTGTTGGCGTCAGACCTATCAGGCAGTCTCCGAGGTCCATCTGAGTTTGTTTACAAGTGTTAAGGGCAGCGAAACCCTGAGTGAGGCAAGCGTGTGAGTCAGACAAGAGGCCGGCGAAATGACCAGGGGAAGGTGGGAAAGAACACAAAGTGAGGAGGGAAAGGAGTTAATGTATTGAGCCCCCACCCCCTGCTAAAGCTTCCCTGGTGGATTTGTCTGGCCGATGACAGATCTGCACCTCCACCCCAGCCCCATCACTTCACTGTACATCTCATCTGACCAGAACACACCAGGGAGCAGACTCAGACGCTTTCACGTCTCAGAGACCCGTCCTCTAAGTAGCTGCTTTTAACATGAGCGTTTAAAACCGGCCCCCCTCTCTCTCTCTTTCTTTTCATCGGTGCGACTTAAACTCCCCGCTCCCTCGCTCCGTCTCGCTTTGCGTTACTTTAGCAGTGTGATAATTCCAAGCGACACGCTCTCCCCGCCGAGGTTCGGCTCAAACGACGCACGCAGGAGTCTTATTTACTCGCCGCGCCTTTCGCGCTCCTTCATTTGTAAGTGAGAAAGGGGGACTGCATTATTGATAAAGCGTCATAAGTGACCACATTGCATTAAAAATGGATTGCTCTCATGAAATAAGTAAATTGTCTGTGAATAATTTAGGTGAGTCACAGCTTGGAGCTGCGATGTTTATGCTAATGTTAGCATTTCAAACAACTGTCTTGTACATATGTCCCTGCAGGAATGGAATAAAATTGACGGCTTTGCCTTTTTTTTTTAATGAGGTACATCTGTTAATTAGCAGAGTGAACTAAGAAATTCTCCCATAATTCCTTTAAGATTTCTCTGTCTCACTTTGTTTTTTTTTTTTCTTACTTACCTTTCTAGTGCACCAAAGACATTTGAGCCTCTCAGAGACGGTTGTCATTCGTTTATTTCAAGTTCCCTCCCAACACATCACTTTTTTTTAAACCAAAAGCAGCTCTGTGTATCTGAAGATGAGTATGGGGACTCGGGGAGGCTTTAAAAGTTGTTTATTCGTCCCTCAGATGCTCACTCACAAAATGTGCCAGCGAATCAAAGCTCTACCCTTCGCCTCTCAACCTTTTTGCTTTAGTTGAATTATATTTTCTGCCAATTGAGGACTTGTTTTAACCTCCCTTTTTTTCTTGTTATGTCCCTGAGTGCCCCCCACTTATTTTTTCTCACCTCTGGGGTGTTATTGTTATTTTGCAATTCTGTGCTGTTTTTTAAAAAATTTTTCTGTTGAATTTGCAGGACCTTGCAGACGGTGGGGCCCTCACACGCTCGCACGTACACAGTCGCTGTATATTTCAAAGGGGAGCGAATTGGCTGTGGCAAAGGCCCAAGGTGAGTAAAACAGWAGAACATATTAAGACCCAACAGAACGAGGTGCTTTCCCTTTCAATGCACCACTAATGGGACGAGAATAATGGCTCCACCTTATTGATGGTGTTTATTATAGCAATTAAGCTCCATTCTATTGGAAGAGACATTATGCAGAATGAAAATGAATCGATTCTTTATTGATTTGACATCAGTTTTGTTATGAAAGCATCACTTTGCCGCTGCGAAGCGTATTCGCCGAGGCGACAGTGCAGCTGGGGTTTAGGCAGGGAATTATTACCTGAAGTTGAGAGGGCAATCATGTTTTTGCCCATTTCTCTTTCTCTCTCTCTCTCTCTCTCTCTCTCTCTCTCTCTCTCTCTCTGCATGTGTGTTCATGTTCGCAACAGATAAGCAACACAAAATAACAAAAAAATAGCTGAAACTCATTCAGTTTGACCGATACTCAGTTAAAATTTGATATAATGATAGACAAGAGGCATTCACAACACATACTCAGAGCTCTACACGTTGATTGACATTTTTTTGAGTAAAACTTTGGCTTTAACTTTTGGCATCTGTCAGCAAAATATTTCATAAACCTCTAAAGAAAGTAACCACTGGATGTTCACGTACAACAGATTTTCTGCAGGAGTCGCCCTATTGAAGATGTTTTACATTCACCAAAACACAAATGGCACCAGCTCTGTACATTTCACAGATATTGCAGTACAATATAAATTTGGAGTAGCTAGCAGGGAAACTTGTGCTCAGAGTCAGGTTCGGGTGGTAGTGATCTTTTTTTGTACCGGCATATTATCTTTAGATAATACCGGGATGTACGACATTACATGGACAGGGTGGAAAGGGTCGGGGCTTGGGGGTGGTATCGTCTGAGGAGCGTTGAGTAATTAATAACTCAAGGAGAAATAACTGTGAGCATTTACTTGCATGTAGCTTCTAGAGCCAGAGCCAGCAGTGAAGTTGTTAATGGACAAACATAGACAAATATTTCAGTACCAAGGTATACAAGAATACTGTCATACCGCCCAAACCTACTCGCTTCACCTTTTATGAAGTCTTGCTTGACATGCATGTTGTCATGTTGAAGGTTTAACCAACACGGTTACAACTCCATCCCTTCTTTTCATAAGAAGATCTAGGTTTAAAACTGTAACAAGAAAGACTTGATATGTATTACTTGAAGGAATGCAGGGCCTTTAACGTGCATTCATGCATTTGACTGCAGATCTTACGTGTGTCGTCACACTCTGTATACACGAAGAGGGGAAAAAAAAACTTTACATGAGGGCCCTTTCATTTTATTTCTTTATTTATTTTCTTTATTAGAGCTGGAGGGGTGTATACGATAAAGCAGCAGCTGAGCCTGCGAGAAATGAAACGTAAATCCAACAAACATCTCTCATCCCTTCCGTGCACACACATGCGGAACCCCCACCCCCCCCCCACACACACACATTTGAAAGCAGTCTGTTTTTGCTCTGAGCTGGCGATAAGTTTGTCCCCTTTTGCAGAATCTTTGACAGCTTACTGTTTTTGTATTTCCGTGATTTAAGCTCCTAGCCACCTCCACGTTCAAACGGCACATAATGTACACCTAAGCAAGGTAAAGTACGGGCGTAAACAGTCCCCCAGCTCAGAGCCGCCGATAGGTTTTTCTAAATGCTACCTGCAATTGTTAGGCAAACTGGTGCATTAATAATAAATATAATGCACTTTTGATAATCCTCCTTTTTCTTTGACTGAATTTCAAATAGGCACTTTGAATCCACTAAAGCCCTTTTTTTTTCTCTTTTCTCTGTCTCCTTTTTCTAAAACATTTCTAATCTAGCATTCAACAGGCAGAAATGGGAGCTGCGATGGATGCCCTCGAAAAATGTGAGTTCAACAACACAAACCACTAACTTTTACTCACAGACAGTACCGTGCAATAGTTTTAAACCGACCACAACTTCTCGTTTTCCTTCCAAGCAGCCAAAGCATTTTTTGTCATGTTTTAAAATGGTCTTGATTAATGTTTCTTTTGGGTTTCTGAGGTTCTTTATGAAATTTCTTTTTTTTTATTGAAGTTTGGTTGCTTCTTCACATATTTGCAGCTTAGTACCTGATGGCAGCATATTGTGCAGTCTGTGCTTTAGAAGAACTGACAAACAGAGACTTAAGGATCCGTTTTCACACAACTGGAGAAGTGAGGTTCAAGAGATGTTTGCTTGTGATCTTTACGTTGAGTTTTAACAAGAATTTAAGTTTGAAAAGTTCTCATTAAGAAAAACTTGAGACAAAGAGAATCTATGTGATTTTAGGTTAGCAAATAGTAAAGTAACTAAGGTTATTAGGAAATACAATGAAGTGGAGACAAATGACAGAAATTTTAAAAGGCATCAGTGATTTCATTGATTAATTTCTTGTATTGTTTGATTTTACACACATTTGCATGCTAATACTGATCCTTCTGATTCAGTCTGAGAGTGTAAGAAAGATTTTTGAACTCTAGAAAACTGTGAAGACCTTTTTGATTATATTAAATATAATGACACAATATCCTGGTTAGCAGAATTAGCAGCAGCATCTGTCGCTTCACTTAATGCCTCTGTTTCATCGGAAGCTATTTCATCTGCAGAACTTACAACAAGCAACAGTCCTAAATCATGACCTATTCAGGCTCCTTTTGCTGTTTATTTAAAAAAAAATGTTGTTCCCATCCCCATGGTTAGGTCTTTAAAAAAGTAAGTCCAGCAGATAAACAAAATCAGAGTGTTGTTCCTTTTAGAAACCTGAAGAAAACAATCCTGCAAAAACCTGACATAGGAACTGAGAGACACATCATCCTTCAGTCGATCCTGTACTGTATTTCAAGTTTCTAAAAACGTATTAGGAGTCACCTTATTGATGCTGAAATACTGTTGATTTATATATATTTTTAAAGATTCATCTAAAGAAATGGGAACAAAGTTTTTTTGGGACAAGTTGATAGAAAGTAAGAACTTAAGGATGCATTTTTTTTTTTTTKKGGGGGGGGGTTATTTTTTTCTAATTTGCCTGTTTTATTTCAACACAACTCTGATTTATCTCTTGAGTTTAGGAGCCTTTTTAAGCCTGAATGATTTCAGGTCAGGTAAGTTGTTTAAWAAACACTTTGAAAAGATCTTCAGAAAACCTGAAGAACTATTGCTTTAGATCACTTTAAAAGATTATTAGAAAGTCTGGACTGTAAAGAAACTAGGTCTAGTTTCTTTTCTTTTTTTTTTGCACGCATTTTCCCCACTTTAAGCCTTTCACTTTCTTTGCCCTGGTGTTGAATATAAGCCTTGGCTGTACAGTATGCAGGATGGCTGGCAGAGAGCTGCTTCCTGACCAGCAGGTTGGCTCCAACATATAGGACGTTAGTCTTTTTGAAGTGTTAGCCCAGAGCACAGGCATGAGGCCCAGAAAACCCAAGCATCCTCCACCATGTCAGTCATCACACAGGATGTTTTTGTTGAGAAACACACACACACACACACACACACACACACACACAAAAAGTTTTATTTTTGTTGTGCTTTCAAGCCCCTTCTCCTAACAACAAGAGCGAGGCTTCACACCCTGATCGACACTTGTGCTGCTCAGCGCTCCTCTTCAGATTTGAAGGAGTGTGCCTGATGTGTCCCCAATGTGCTGCTTTGGCTGTTTTTCATCTTGTTATTGTCTTTTCATCAACCAGCACTTAAGGAGAATAGATGGTGTTTTTTTTTTTACTACGTCTCATTCAGTGCCAAGTAAAAATACAATTACAGGGCTCTCAGAAATGCATCCACCAGTCACTCCCGTCATCTCCCAGTCCCTTCATATTCTCATCGCATATGTATGTGGATCCATTACACCCAGCGTGAGGAGAGTTCAGGAGTGAAATTTTGGACTGAATTCTCTTGCTATCTGCTACTTCATTAATCAAATGTAGTATTTTATTTATTTATTTATTTTTGCTCAACTAATTATCTGGAGTTGAACACAAATGGCTTTGTTGGATCAGGCCGGGGGAACTCACAGAGGGCAGGAAGGGTCACCCTTTCATTTCATTTGGCTTTAAATGAAGCCTCCATCCACTTGTGATTGATACTGTTTGTACTCTCGGGCTCCAGCATTTTTTTTAAATAAAACATTATTTGTTAAGGTGCTATAATTTAAAGCACCTCTCTGTCTGTTTCAGGCTCCCCCCTCACCTCCCTCCCTCCTTATCAGGGGGCGTAGTTCAGTGCACACACTCCATCTCCTGTGCCTTCCTCCTTCCCCTAATTTCTGCAGTTTCCTCTCCCCAGTGTACTCCTCTGTCACCAAGATTGATAGATGCTCATTGCTAGTAAATGAACATTTTCCCCCCTCATAAATTGCTGTTTCATGTGACTAGATTAGTGATGCCTTTTAAAAGGTCAGTTAATTTAAAATCATCTCCTCAAGTGCCTCCTTGTTCGGAGCAAAACGCCTCCAGTTGAATGGCTTTGTTTGACTTTGTCTTCGCACTTAATTTAAATCTAACAGTTTACAAGTCAGCTTGATGAACTCTTGTTCACCTGATATTTTTAAAGGTGAGCTGTGTGGTTTTTAACTAAACTCTGTGTGTTTTCTGAGTGCTGTCTGTTGGCAGAAATTGAGAAAAATACTATTTCGRTGGAGAAGCAAAGTTTCTAAATGCTGCCACACTGTATTTATATCTGTTAAATAAAAAGACACAAGACTTTGTTCACCGTCGTGTTTCACCAACGCATTATCACATTGGATTAGCGTGAACAAAGCAAACACCGACTCTTAAAAGAGATTGTTTAAAAAGTTTTTTGTGTGTTTCGAACACTGTTCTACTCGCTCTAATAGAAGTTATTAGCCTTTAGTTGCAATCTACAATTTGAACGCTAGATGTCACTAAATCCGAACATTTCAAATTTAAAAATACTTTAAAGGGGACCCTTCATGCAAAACACTTCTTTAGCTCATACAATTTTGTTGTGTACTTGGCGACTCTAGGAATGCAGGAAAAATTTTATTTATCTTCTCCCGGCGCAGTGTAGATATATATTTATATTCTATTTGGGTCAAATTTTTCAGTCGTTTCTTTTTTTTTATTTTATTATTCCCTTTTACGTTTTTTGAACAATAACGCTTTGCTGCTGGATTATCATATCTGCTTTCAAACTACAAAAATTGCTGAACAGGATGGAGGGGTGCATGGTGTGAAGAAGAGACTGCACCAAAACATGTTGATCTCAGACACACCTCAGAAAAGGGGTAAAAGAGGGGCTTGTGGAGCTACAATAAGGATGAAATCAAACCAAAGCATTGCAGTTCCACTTAGTTTATCTAGACCCCATCTAAATGATTTAAATGGGAAAAGGAGTTAAAAGCACCCACATATGTTGTTGAAAATCCTATAGTTTAAAGGCAACAAATACACTTAACGGACTTTAACAGTCAGTGGAAAAAAAGACCCCATATTGTCTCTCCTCATGTCACCTCCATCTGTAAAAAAAATAATAATAAAAAAACGAACTTTTAAAAACTCTGGACGTCCAGTTAAACATAGGTCTTTGGTATTTACTGAAATGATTTATGTGGCATAACTGATACAAAAATATGTTTCTGGTTTAAGTTACCGGTACGTTTGATTATTGTACGATAGAAGCAATAGGCAAACCAAGAGTTAGAAACAACAGTGAAATTACAAACTGCAAATAATTAATTTATCCTCCACCTACCCTAGAAAACTACAGTGGATGTAAAAATAGAAACATTTATGTAAATTTTAGACCACATCTTGGAACATATTTATACTAATTAATATGTATTTTATACATTTTTGCTGGATTACCCTTATCACTGAGTGGCGAGAACATCCTCGTAGGCGAAATATCAAGATATGAAAAGCTCACATTTGCTAAAGATTCTACCAGTATTGTTTGTATACCCATTTCAGTTTCCTCACCRTTATTAACCTTTTGGCACATGAAGTTTAATGGCAACAGGATTGGAATAAAATGAGACAAACCTTGAAAAAAAAAAAAAGGAAAAGTAGCTCTTTATTTGTTTGTGTTTTTGAGGCGTGTGCAAAGYTGACATCATTTGTGAAAACTCTGTCCTCTGTCCTATTTTGAAAAATGCAATCTTTTCTTATTCAGTTTTCCATTTGTTAGTAGACAGGAGATGCAAATGTAGCAGGAAATATGATTAAAAACTAAGCAGCATCCTGAGCAGCATGAACAAAGCCCGGCTCATAATGGTCCTGTCTAGAATCCATAACGTTCCAACTTTTAAACTAGAGTTTCTTTATGAGAACTAATTTAGACAAATTAGAGGATATTATTAACAGGAAAAGAGATGTTGGATATGGTCTAATAGGCTCCATCTCTTACAAATATGCTCATTATTTAAAGGTCCTATTCTATAATTGAAACTATAAATGGCAGATTTTTTTTTTTTCCTTTTTATGATTTAAGTACAGATTCATTACTTTTGAACAGGAACTTTCACAGGCGAYGCTTTTGTTCCATTGTCAAACCATTTTGTTGTTGTTGTTGAAATAAGCATGCAAGGCCAGTCAGCAGGATTCAAAGATGCTTTTTTTAAAGGATTTGTGTGTCTCCTGACCATGAGTTTGTATAATGAGACCTGAGCTCATGTGCTGCAGAACCGCCTAGCACATCAACTCCTCTYGGAGCCGCATTGTCTCTTGTGTGATTGTCAAGGGCCTCGCTTCATTTGTTCGCATAGCAAGACTAATCAAGGACATTAGCCCCGGTGTCATGTAATTCATCATTGATTGTCTTATTGGCCCTCGGTGCAGTACTGGCTGCACCATCACTCCTCTTGTATAACAGCCTTACCTTGTGTTGCTCTCTGATCGAAAACAC